ATAGTCATTCTGCTTGCGAGATGTGATATGTTGTATAGAATTTTGTGATGATTGTGTAGGAGTAATAGTTTCCTATTTGGTTTGATCTGTATAATTTTGATGCTAGTTTTCTGCGTCACACTTCATGTGGGTCACCCTGTACAACCCATTCACCATGCCCATTTACCGTAAACCCTTCTTTTGGGACCGTCTACACCATCTCTTAACCCAACGCAAATCGCAAAATAAGATTACGCACAACCGACAGTTCTTCGCACCTCCTTACCCCTCCCCTCTCTCCAACCTATCCTCCCTTGTTCGGAAAGTTGCCTGCGTTTCGATCGACTACTTTTGCAAAGAAATAAAGATAGCTGCCAATTCTGCGGAGATATTAGGAGAATTGAACATCTAAAAACGTAATTAAAGAGAACGAATCGGGGCGCTTGCTGACTCGATAGAAATATGCTGTTCTGAACGAGCACGGCGGTTACTTCTTCCCATAACTCGTCTAGGGAATGCGTTATCACTACTTTTTCCTTCAGAATTAAATCTGTTTTCTACTGTCGGGTATGCTGTCCCACTTTAGAGCTTGCCTATACATTTTGATCGCTGCTCTTCACATATGCTTTTAGCAAAGTCTTCAATTAAATGAACATTGAGCTCATAAAGAAGTAAAGGCGATGAGGCATGGAAATAGATTTGAGAGATAATCCTGCCATAGCAAATGAAAGATCAAGGCAATATAGACAAAGGCTGAGAAGATTTGGCTAAAAATTGATCATCGCTCGGTAATCTCCAGTGGATATGCTTCAGGTCTTCGATTCGTCATAGGAATGAAAACGAAACGTCCCTGATGGACAACTAATTCGACAAAGCATGGTTTGAGACATGAGTAACGTTGTTCAACCTCTTCAAGAACGGCTTATAGCGCTTGGGACAATGCACAGGATGAACTGAGGCTGTGATACTTCTTGTCAACTCTGAGTGGGCGCATTGAGTTATCCCCGATTAAGGAAGAATACAGCATAATTTCACACAATAAGAAATTTCGGTTGTGTGATAATTACGATACCGAGACGAAGAGGTCTCCGTCTCGTTCGGTTTGCTAGCTACGATTTACTTTGAGACGAGGCGGGTATTGTTTGAGGAAGTAGATAATATAGAGACTCTATTATGAGAAATTCGAGAAGATGGATTGCTTTCGAAGACATGCCAAGGCCTCTAGCGGATAAAGCCGGACTCAAAGAAATCGAGTTCGAGACAAAAGGCTTTCCGAGACGTACAAATTCAATAAGAAATCCATAAAAGCAAAAAAGCAAGTGCACAAACCTGTCAGGACATAGATGCCGGCTCCTATCATGTGACCAATTCCTAGAAGGGTTATGTCGACGGTGGTGAGGCATCGTCTCAGCTGTGTGTCCAAGTTTCCGTCCGGAATATGCTTCAGGCGGAAGACCTTCTCTCGTAATGTCGAAAAACGCATATCAACACATCTAGACATACCAGGCTCATATATTGCCTTAGAAAAGGTAGGTAAACATCCACTAAACACGATCAGAATTTGATATTCAAAAGCAGTCGCTGTGAGTAAACATGCCCCAATGGGTATGAAGCTACTCTTTGTCTGATGGCAGGAAACCCTGATACAACAAGAACATCAAGGTGGAAGGTCATTGAGGGATATGGAAAGAAATCATGAAAAGATCCTGTCGGCGGTATTGAGCTTTATAGGGAGAAGAAGGGGAAGAGATCCTGCACAAGGTTTTTGATACTGTTGAGTTCCGTCAACGAAGCATCCCCCCAATTGTGACTGGTGACCGGCTTCTCGAAATACACATTCATACAAAATTGGCACGCAAGAGAGAAGAAAAGGCAAGTCAATAGAAGGGGAGGGAAGGCGAGAAGCCGTTTGGCTCAGTCAAATTGATTGAAATTAGCCCATGAGAGTCCATTCATTCGCGTCAATTGCTCTGAATGGACGACCACCGCTTGCTGACTGGACAACCGGATCAATAGAACTACTTGTTTATAGCTATATCTTCGATGTAGCAACTATAAGAACTGGTCTTTCACTTGATCCCACTTAAACCAGTGCCTGAAACTATATGTCATTGATTTCCGGCTAGATTTCCCCCGTCAAGTGCTATTTAGTGAGAGCGACATAGAATGACAAATACGTACTTCTCCTTGAGAGCATGTACTGAGATTTTTTGGTCAGAGAGAGGTTAGCTGTAAGGGAGGGTATTGAACAAAATGGAATCGTACTGCTGTCACTTTCTCCCAGAGAAAAACTATTCCTGAAGGTGTTCTGAGAGGCAAATTCAGAAGTTGCTCGCTAAACAGCTAAAACGGGAACAAGAGAGAGACTGAGAAAACCCCTTTTAATAATGTCCCCTGTCTCCCCTCTGCCATGTGAATGTGAATTCTTTTTAAGAGCAGGATTCGGAAAGAAATTAGCATAAAAGCCACTGCTACCTATAGATCTAGTGTAGTCAAGTAATTTACTTTCTTATAGCAACATGGAAATCATACGGGAGTATACTGAGATCATTCTTTCATGTTCAGAGAAGCTATTCTCCCTTGTCGAAGGAATGTGAGAGGTCGCGTTATCCTGTCCCCGGTCTAAGATGCAAAGAGAGGCCGCAGTACTGGAGCCTCCTGAAATTTTAGCCTTTTACGAACGGTTTCCTCCCTAGGCCTCAGGCATAGACAAAGGGGGGAGCTACCTTTCTTATGTTTTGGTTTCTTGCCAAAGAGCAATCGATGAAGCTTCCCTAATGGGTGGTCCATATATAAATCAGTGGTCTTCGACCGTCGAAAATGACAGCATTCTCAATACCCAATGACAAACTTGTTACCCCCTGCTACGCCAAACCTTGTTCCATTCTATTCTGCTGACGGCAATTAAATTACTACCTGCCCAACCCCTTGAATTTCATGAGGTGGTTCAATGGCGAGCATTATTAGCCAGCATTATAGGGGTGCTTTCACTCTTTCAATTCGACCTCCAGAAATCGCTCTCACTGGCTCTGCCGATAAAATTGAACCAGCAATTTAATCTAAATAGCTGAAATATTTGAATGGCGAGCCTGCATACCCAGTTAAATTCGAGGTCGACCTGTGGCATATTAAAATTGGCGCTTTCTTTCAATCTTCATAGCTACCAAGCGGCTATATCCAGCCAGGCGTAGATGGCATGAATGGAGTAAATCCCAGAGACCGTGCAAGGATGATGCGATCAAGGTTAAAGAGTCCAGCGATACACTAGAAGGGCTCATACTAGTCCTGCTGGGAAAGGAAGGACAGGTGCGTAAGTCTCAAAAAGAAAATACATACGCTTCCGTCTAGCACAGGATTAATGAAGACAGAAGCAGGGTTGAAAAATGCGAATCGAATTTCGCCGGAGGCCTTGTTCTGAAGCTGTTTACGTGAAGCGCATGCCACCGCCAAGATTGATCCTAGATGGAAAGAGTACGTGTGTACGGCCTGAGTTTATTCCGTGCATTACAGTGGCTCTCCATTGAAAGGTGCAATTCTTGACTGAAAGGTTTTTGAGCTTTTCCCACACGAGGAATCTGCGACTCCCAAGTATGCTACATCGGGTACTACCGGCCTAGATAGGAAGCAGAAAAGGTTCAAAAATTTTCTCAACAGAAGTAACACTCAAAATTGGCAATGTGTCAACGGTTTCGAGAAGGCCACACCATTCGCAATGGAGCCTACATATTGAAAATTCAATCAGCTGATCAGAAAAACAACAATATGAGGCATAACAAGAAGAAAACAACAACAACAGGAAATTGGCACCAATACCAGGGAACAACATTAGGCTCCTAAAATGTTTATTGCATGCAGTCCCAATCTATGGTGACATTGTGGAAGCATTCCTCGGTTACTGTAGCCTGCTCTTGACCGCATAGACTGACGACTCGTCCAAAGGCCCGTTCCTGCCACTTTCGTTGCCATAATCTCGTACAACCCCCTGATTTGTCTTCTTTTTCGGCAGCCTTTCATTTCTCAAACTTCGCTTTGCACAAATCTGTCGAAGACTTTCACCAACCAATTGAAAGAGGCAGCTCAGAACATTCTTTGACTGTGTGCTTCGAGGTAATTAGGACTGTTCCACTTGGAAGAGAAGCCTGAAATGAGGTCGGATCATACCACGATGATTCGTCTAGACAAAAGCGGTATTCTAGAGACATTTCGAGTGAGCTTCATGCAATAAAATAAGCGAATTTCCCAGAAGAAAGTAAACTTCACGTTAATTTCGAGGGAAAGGACTAGAAGAAATCCAATCTCCACGATTCCAAGTAGAACCATCATCCGATGAGGAATTTGAAATTCTTTCCAACTGTAAATGAAATTGAAATCGTCCGGAAGTGCAATCATGTTTTTCCTAGATGTGCTACCATTCTGCTAGGAATCGTTTCAGAGGATATGCTGGCAAACGTCGACAAACA